GGGGGGGGGGGCACGCCGCCAACCACTGCGCGCAAGGGCCTCACCAGGCCCACCGACACGAAAACAGGTAACACAATAGGACACATGGTCGACGAAAAGTGACTTACCAAGACAACGACAGCATGGCATAGACGACTAGGGAGGTGACACCTCGGCGGGGCGGGCGGTTGTGACGTCCCCCCACGGTGGTAGTGGCTTGCTTGTGAATCGCCGGCGGGCACGGACCGCCGGACAAACTAGCCGGACATCGTCTCCACGACGAAAAAGCGCAAAGCGCAAGGCTACAGGCACCGCGGCCACACATGGAGAACAAAAAAAAAAGGAATGGTCCCATAACCTAAAACCCTGAAAGTGGACAACAACACAACATCAACACAGAGTCTCACGTCTCATGACTTGGACTCCAAGATTGCAGTTCGCGCTTACCAAGACTGCCGGGCTGCTAGGAACGTTGTTGGCACATAGAACTCTTGGGTTTCTTGATAAGAATCCCCAAATGCACGGCCGACGGCCACCACTCTGCTCGCTGCGTACCGCACGGCTGACCTGTCTCGACTGCCGGCCGGCTCCCTCGCCTTCATGAGGAAGTTGCCCGATAGGAGGAACAAAAAGAAGTTTTGTAGATTTTGTATAGAAAAATTGGGTCCATACCAGACCGGCATAACAATCGTGTGTCAAGAAGAGCTTCTGCAAAGTTTGGCTTCGGAAAAGTAAGTTTATTCAATCCTCTAAACCGTCCCGGTGTCGTTGTTTAGGTTAGTGTACGGACGTATTGCATTGGTACTATTTTAATTCAATGATAATGACTCAACTCTCGTTATAAACTTTGGTATAGGTGGTACCAAGGTGCTAGATGCATAGGCCCGTTCTAAACTGTTTGAAATCTAACGCATTCTAACCTCTGCTAGACTGTCGCTCATCTTCTGCTTTGTTTAGGGATGGCGCTACGCCACGCCACCTTCTTCTTGTTCCTCTTATCGGGCAACTTCCTCATACAGTCGAACCAGCGAAAGAATTTTTCTGGTAATGCATGGGCTCTTATGGGCCGCTACACAAGGCCGAGGAGCATTCTTTGGCTGGTCAGAGTGTAGACGATTTGGGCTATGAGATAAGAAGAAGTCAGGACGAAATCTACATCATCGTGTCTGCTTGCCCTACAGTAGAGACGCCGTTTGGGCGGCCCGAGTGACCCAGCCTCTATCTACGGATTATTTTTGGTGTAGAAATAGTAGGGCAGGGAGACGCGGGCTGAGGGGAAGACACTATGCAGGTCTGTGTCGGCTGGGCCGGTCTGGCCCATGCAGGTCCAGCAGACCCAGCACGGGTCGGGTGGGTCCAGCCGGCCCGAACTGGATCTGCCTGACCCGACTGATTCGCTCGTGGGCCGCATAGGTCTGCTGAACAAAGACTTGGGTGGGTCAACCTGGCCCAAGCGCTAAAATCGCAAAGGGCAGCGTCGGCCCAGAATTCAGACCCAAACGGCGACTCTACCCTACAGGCAGATCAGCCACTTTTCCGCACCTTTTTCCTGATTTCTTTTTATCCAGAGGTAGCCCAAAAATAGTACATTGGTTCCGTCGGCTGCCGGACTGCGCTGATTGGCGCTCGCAATCCGGCGGCAAAAGGTGACGAGTTTGAAATTTAAAGGAGGACCGCGGCCGCAACCCCTGTACTAGGGGGGGGGGTGGGGGGGGGGGGGCGGGGGGGGGGGGGGGGGGGGGGGGGGGGGGGGGGGGGGGCGACCGGCCGGCTGAGGAAAACCCTACCCCCTCGAAATTTCGATCGTCGCTATTTTGTAAGTATTTGTCAGCAGACCCAAAAAAATCAGTGGCGAGGAACAAAATTTACTTTGTGAAACCAGAAAACTCGAATGTTTAACTGATACACACTTGTAAGTTAAGTGTTTTGAGCTCCCCAGTTGTGTAGTTTTATTTAAAATTTGCTCAACTTGGAAGCACGGCTCACGGAAGTGTGTCACTTCTCTCTTGAACATTTCCCATTATTCAACTAAGCATTTCTCTGAGCTACGCGCCCCCAAGCGCACGCTCCTGCAAGCGTGAGTAGGGCGAGGGAAAGGGCGCGGGGAGGAACGACGCCAGTGATCCACGCCGCCAAGCGGAGCTCACGCTTGGGTCACGCTTGGGCCACGCTTGGGGGCGCGTAGCTCAGAGAAATGCTTAATTGAATATAGCTCTTAGCTTTGTTGTGTCAGAGGTCTTCATCAGAGAAGTTGCACTCGTGCAAGTGCACGTGCACAACTACAGAGTTAAACACTACTTGCAAATGTACCGCTACGCAGCTGAAACAATTATTGCAAAGTATTCGACCTAGCAGCAGTTGCACACTGGTTGGTGTAGCAAATCTAAGGGGCCGTTCACAAATTAGGTCACGCGTTGTGGGCAGGGGAGGGGGTCTGGGCAAAGTGTGATGAACGTGTGACGCTGGGGGAGGGGGTAGTCTACGAGATCGTGACGTCACGCATTTTGTGAGGTGGCGGAGGCAGTGCTGTATCCAGTTAACAATTTGTCGCTATTGTAAGGCCCACCCTCAGCTGAGCTCAGTTAAAACAGGGTTGAAAATCACTTCATGTAATGGCCCATTGAAAATACATCATTTTGCTTTTAAAATCTGTAGTTTTTGTTCGTGCATATTTTTTTCTGGTATATTTTTGATCTGTAAAAAAAGTGGAAAAGAGGGGGGGTCAAAGGTCACCCCCAAAAGCGTGACGTCATTTGTGAACGGTCCCCAACAGTGTAGCAGAGACGAGACCGGCAAGAGGCAACTCGCGACAAGCGGCTCGGAAAATTATCCGTAGCCAAGTTTGCAAACTCGACAAAGGCGGAAGAAGTGCGGCCGGTGAGGAGGGGTGGGGTGG